GCTCCACAGTCCCCCTTGCCCTACTCTGGAGCACAGCCGAGGTTTAGTGGCCTAGGAGACCGGCAGTAGGGCAGGCAGCAGGGAATGTGGCCCAGGAGGGGGGCCTGGGATCGGGCGAAGGCCGCTCACCGGTTAATTATTGCACGCTAATTATTGTGGGCACTGATGTGGGAAACAAAGGCAGAAGAAAAATTATTTAATTTCCGGGGTGCGCCTGGGTGGCTCAATGGGTTAAACCTCTGCCTTCAGCTCGGGTCATGATCTCAGGGTCCTGGGATCGTGCCCTGCATCGGGCTCTCTGCTCAGCAGGGAACCTGCTTCCCCCTCTCCCTGTGCCTGCCTCTCTGCCTACTTGTGATCTCTCTCTGTCAAATAAATAAATAAAATAAAATAAAATATTTAATTTCCTTACTACCTACACCCCATTGATAAGTCCCTGAAACAGGCAAAGTGACATTCCTGTAGGGATTCAACTGTCTCCATGTTAATACTTTGCTAAGGGCAAAAGGCACTCCTAGCCCCCCTACATACACCCCCATCCCCCGCCATCCCTCCAGGATCCTGTAAGTCTACTTTAGCCTATAAATATTGCTTTAGAAATTTCCTTTATCTCTAACCCTCACCAAGATACATGTTGACAATCATCCCCCATGCATATGGCCCACCGATATACATCTGAAGGGTCTCACAACTAAGGTTTTATTAGGTGGTAATAAATGACCTTTTCCCAACAATAGCGAGCCCCCTCAACGTCCTGGAAAACTTGCCTCCAAAATTCCTAAGAGACTTATGCTATCTCTAACCCCCTCCCAACCTGAAAGTATATAGTGGGCTACTCCTCATGACCCCGGTACAGCTCTTTCTGCCCACAGGTCCTATCCCCGTGCTGGAATAAAATCACCTTTGCACCAAAGACATCTCAAGAATTCGTTCTTGGCCGTTGGCTTTGAACCCTAACATCTTTCCTACATCAGGCACTAGCCAGGCCTCCATGGGAGGTGGGTAGGTGGAAGAGGGTGGATTCTTAGTGCAGGCCTAAGGCCAGTCCCCAAGTCCCACTTACCCCATTTTCTCCCCCAAACTCAGGGCTGATAAAACCTTGCAGCCTGAGATGCTGGGATCCTTTAAAATAATCTGGTCCACTTCTAACCCCTGTCCTTCTTATATAGATGAGAATGAGATCCAGAAAATAAGGACAGAACCAACTGTAGGGCAAGGGCTGGAGTGCAAGCTTCCAGGCTCCCAGCCAGCTGTAGAGAGTAAAGAGCTACCTAGTCCCCAAAGTAGAGATCCGCCAACTCCTCCAACCTCATCAGTCCCAGGCGTCACCAGCGGCAAAATCAGACATTCAGCAGCCCAGAGCCTCAGTTGCTCCTAGGCTGCGGCCCCCCTCTCTTTGCCCCTGTAGCCAACCACACAGGTGTCCCTTCTCCAGCATCTGAGAGTCAGGTCTCCTGTAGGCCCTTCCCACCGCGGCCACCCCACCCAAGGACCGAAGTCTTCCTTTTACCATGATGGTACCACTGCTGGGGAAAGGGAAAAGGAGAGGAGCAGATTTGGGCAAGAAGAAGCTGAGCTCCATTTTGTCGCAGTGCCTGTATGCAACCCAGGGAGAAGTGATCATAGAGGCAAAAGCCCCGGGGAGGGGTACAGGTTGGATACAGATATAGCAGCCATCAGCCTAGGGACAGCAATAGAAGTTTAAGGAAAATGGGGCCTCGGTACCATGGGGAAGGCCACTTGGGACAGGAGGTGAATGGGTTTGCTGGGAAAGCAGCTGAGCCCTGAAGGGCATGGAATGAAATGGACTCCCAGGAGACTCCCACCCCCACCCTCACCCCCACCCCCAGCCCTGCTTTACCTCTCCCTCAAAGCGAGCCTTACCTGAATCTTGTGAAGAGCAGGGAGGGTTAAGGCCTTGGAAAACCTCAGCAGGCGAAGGGCCCTTGGACCCTTCAGACCTCTCTCCCGGCTTTATAAGACCAGGCGACCTTCTTCTGATTGGAGAAGAATGACCAAAGATCTAGGAATGCCTGAAGGAGGGAACTCGTCTAGATGGGACTTGCCCCTACCTGGCATCCTCCACCCCTGACCTGGGGACTGATCATTAACTGGGCTTTGTGGCCTCTCCACTAGGAGAAGGACCTGGGCCCTGAGGGCTTCATAAGTCACCAGCTAAGGGGAGGGGAGATGGGCGTGGAGTTCTGCTCTGTGGGGAGTCACCCTCCTCTGAATCTGGGATGAGAGTGCGGGGGCTGTGTGACCTGCGGGGAGGAACAGGGTGAAGCGGCCACCTTTGAGCCTGGACCGGAAGTTTACTATCAGCCAGGTGAGCCATGGGCATCCTGTAGCCCCCAATCTGTAGGCTGTGCTGTGACCAAGGATAACAGGAGGGTGTTTGGCCGGTGCAGGCCGGCCTGCGTGGAGTCGGGGTGGGTGAAACTGGAGCTTTTCCTGCCTGCTGCTAGCCCACCCCCTGTTTTCTCAGCTGTGGAAACTGCAGTTCCCAGGCAGCCAAGAAAGGCTACAGTTCAGACCTGAGTCCCATTCCAAACCAGGTTCTTCCACGAAGGGAGAAAGGAAAGCTCTGTGAGAGGCCCTCAGGGCATCAACCTAAGGATTGCACAAATACAGTGTTTCTCCTCTGGCCTCAGTTCCTGCCCTTGCCTTCTTAACTTCTATTTCAGCCTCCTAGAAACTTCTCCTTCCACTTCCATCCTACCAAGCCTTTGTCCTTGCTGAGCCGAGTGCTGGTCCTCCCGCCATTTTCTGTTTGGCAGACATTACTCCCCTGGAAGCCTTCTCTAACCTCCCTGGGCTCCCATAGACTCCTCATGAGTGTCTGTTTTGTTGGGGAAGAGCAGATGATAAACACAGCAGATGATAGGTATCTGTACAAAGGCAGGAGATCCATGTGATAAGAAAGTGCCTGGATGACCTTGTTTGGTTGGTGGTCAGAAGTCATGTTAGCGGGGAATCATAGGTTGAAATCTAAGTGGCTACAAGGAGCTAGCCTGCAGAGAACAAAGGAACATTCCAGGAACGCAGAAAGAGAATTGCTGGCACAAAGTGTGTGAGAAGCATGAATGGAGCTCACCTATGGGGTGTGGAACAGAATGATGGAAATGAGCTCTAGGTCAGTCTAAGTCAGTCAGTGGGGGGCAGGGCGGGGCAGGGGTCTCTATGCCATTGAAGTCTGGTCTCTCCAACAGATACCATGGGTTAAAGGGTTGGCGAGGTGTTGCCGCATAAGACATTTTTGGTGTTTATTTTACTTTTTAAAAATGTCCATCAGATGGCAAAATTTGTGGGTGCCAATATGGTGGTGAATAGGATATCTTCAGTTCTCAAGTATCTGCCTGTATCATACTTACATATTACAAGGGGGAAGGGGGAAGAAGTAGTGGAGAAACCTGACAGATCCAATCTCACCCTCGGGAGTGAGTGAGCTCACCCCCATATGCCTTCTGTTATGATGCACTGAGAAAGACCCAGTGTTGCCTTGGGGCTATTCATGCCAAAAATGTATGACCTTGATTTAATAAGGAAGAAACCCATAAACTCTAAATGAGGGATATTCTATAATGGAATTGGCCTGTGCTTTTCAAAAATGTCAAGGTTCTCAAAGAACCCCTCTCCTTCAAATACCCATCAGTAGGAGACTGAGTTAGATGTGACATATACTACATAGGCTGGAATACTGCCCTGCAGTGGAAAAGAATGGGCCAAATCTCAGTAGATCAATAAGGAAGATCTTAGAAACTGTGTTCTCATGATAAGACACATGGTGCATGGGGGCGCCTGGGTGGCTCAGTAGGTTAAAGCCTCTGCCTTCGGCTCAGGTCATGGTCCCGGGGTCCTGGGATCGAGCCCCACATCGGGCTCTCTGCTCAGCAGGGAGCTTCCCCCTCCCTCTCTCTCTGCCTGCCTCTCTGCCTACTTGTGATCTCTGTCTGTCAAATAAATAAATAAAATCTTAAAAAAAAAAAAAGACACCTGGTGCATGAAAGCCACACCAAGATGGTCTTTTCGTATCTATCAGTTTGACAAAACAAAAGTCAGCTTAGTAGGAAATCAGAAGTTTGACTCTATCCTTTGGCAAGGCGGCAGGAAGCAGGCACTCTTATCCCTAGTTGGGGGGGGGGGGCCCACTGATACAGTTGTAGAGTTGTAACTCAAAATTGTAACTCCATCTACTTCTTGACTTAGAAACGCCTTTTCTGGAATTCATGTGTAACATTCTATCATGCATAAGATTACCCACTGCGGGGGCACCTGGGTGGCTCAGTCGCGTGGGCATCCAACTCTTGGTTTCTGCTCAGGTCATGATCTCAGGGTCCTGGGATGGAGCCCCACATCATGCTCTGTACTCAGTGTGGAGTCTGCTTGAGACTTTCTCTCCCTCTCCCTCTGCCCAGCAATTATCCCTTTAAAAAAGGGAAGCAATGTAGTTGTTCATCATTGGGCCTCCTTACCCACTACCACCACCAGTATCTCCACCCTAGTCCACATCTAGTAAGGGAAGGAAAGGGAAAGAGGCTTTCTTTATTACCAGGAGCCTGAGAACTTATCTGTCATCTCTGCCCACCTTCTCTCCACCCATCCCCTTAGCCCCTTGTGGTGTGGGACTGATGAACTTGGCATGGAGGGAAGCCTGGTGAAGAAGAGCTTCAGACTAAGGGGTCAGCTTCTACCTCCTACTTGCTGGTGAACTTCCAGCTATTCCCAGTACCTCCTTGGGCCTCTTAGGAGGAATGATAAAGCGGTAAGGCTGTCCCTCCAACCCACTCATCCCCAAATTACGTACAAGACACAAGATACACACGGATCTATGAAAATAGGCCATCAGAGGAACCCCATATGACTCATCTTGGATCAAGAACCAATAACTAGGGCATTGTGAGGTCCCCGCATCTGAGAGTGCTGAGCTGGGCCGAGGCCAGGTCACCCAGGCTGGGTGCGGACAAGGGAGATGGGCAGGTGTCCGCAGTGACAGGGGCTCAGCCCAGGAGCCGGAGCTGCAGCATCAGGGCCAGGCTGAGCAGGAGAGGCTCCACCCCTCGGGGCAGGGCCCCAGCACTCAGGGCCATGGCATAGAACCTCGCCACCTCCTCATTGGGGTTGCCTTGGGCTGGGCTGAACCACATCTGGATGCAGCGGCTGTAGTTGCTGGCCTGGTAGGAGTGACTCCAGAGGCCCTCACACAGGGCTGCAGGTATGGGAAAGTAGGTCTCAAAGGTACGGCAGGTGGTCCCGGCTGGACACTTGTTAATACCTGCAGGCAGAGAGGGTGGACGCAGACATTCAGCCCCCGGGCCCGAAGCTGGTTTCTGGCCACCCCAGATCCTCAAACCCCTCCTCCGTGCCCACCCGCCACCCCCCTCACCTGAGGTCCAGTCCCAGCCCTGGTGCCAGTTGTTCTTGCAGGTGTAGGAGCTGCGACAGTCCTCCCACCGTTGCTGGCAGTCCTCTTGGCACAGGGGCACATGCAGGAAGCGCTCCTTGTGCCAGCTCTGATTCACCTGGTGGGAGGTGAGGAGGGAGGGCTCACTCAGCGCTCAGCGGATGGGACATGCAGATGGGATGGGACATCACCTGCCACAGCCCTGATGGAGCTGGATGGCAGCTGCAGCGGTGGGGTGGGGAGAGGCAGTGTCCCATACCTCCCGGATCCAGGGCCCCAGGTTGGGGGAGCACTCATAGAGACAGTTGTCCTGGATAAAGTGGCGCTTGCAGGCGGGCTCCATCTTGCCGCAGTGCTCCCAGGTGAAGTTGTACAGGAGGGAGGTGTCCTTGTGCAGCTCCTGGCTGGTGCTGACTGAGCAGCAGGCTTTCTCTTTCCAGGGAATGCACTGCGTGGGGAAGACACCGACTAAGTGCCCACCCGCCCCACAGCGGTCTCCTCCATCTTCTGACTCCTCTGCCCCAGGTGGGGCATCCAGAGGAACACTTGCTGGGGAGGGCATCACGATGCCTGGCTCTTGGGTTTGAGGCAGTTGTAACAGTTTTTTAACAGAGAGTAAAACAGGGGATGTGGGAGGCCTGGGAACCACTGTCTGGGGGAGCAATTATTTTCATGCTTCTAAATTATTTCACGTGATTCGCGTTATTTATATTACTCATTTTGCCTCCAGCCAATATTAACTAAGTACTTTTGATCAATCCCACATCGTGCTGGGCCGAGAATACATCTGTGAACAAAACAGATCAAATCTCTGCCTTGGGACGCCTAGGTGGCTCAGTCTTTAAGCTGAGTCTTTAACCTCTGCCTTCGGCTCAGGTCATGATCCCATGGTCCTGGGTTCAAGCCCCTCATCGGGCTACCTGCTCGGCAGGAGGCCTGCTTCTCCTTCTCCCATTCCGTCTGCTTGTGTTCCCTCTCTCGCTGTGTTTCTCTCTGTCAAATACATAAAATCTTAAAAAAAAAAATCTCTGCTTTCATGGAGTTTATGGCTTTAGTCAGGGGCAGGGGGAAGACACAGAACATGGTAGGCACAGAAAACAGCAAGTGCAAAGTCCCTGAGGCTTTTGCACTTTATGCCCTCAGCACTCTAGTAAAAACATCATTCATTCAACCGTTACAGAGTTTACGTAAGCTGTACCCCTGGTAAATGGTGGGATCAAGATTTTAACTCAGGGCAGGTAGAAGAGCCTGGCCTCAAGCTATGGTAAGAGCAGAGAGGAAGGGCACTGATCTGGCTCTCCTAGGGTCTGGACCCCCAAGCTAGGGGACTCCACATAGGTCCAGAAAGTGGTGGGCGACAGAGGGCATAATGGCCTGCACATGAACCCCGGTGTGGACCTGACTCCATATGGGAGGCCATCCCAGAGAGGTAATTCAAAGCAGGAAAGACAATGAAAGTGTGAAGTTTTCTCTGTAGAAATAATTCCAAGCTGGGACTCCAGAGCTGAGTGATTACGAGCCAGTCGCTTAAAATCTCTGCGATGAACTATAGCACCCAGGGTCAAGCAACAGGGGCATGGGACAGGTCTGGGCACTCAGGAGAAACAAGGAAAATCCAAGAGGGTGGATGGAACCAAACCTACCCCAGTCCAACAACCTAGCCCACCCCCAGCACAGCTGACATCAAACGTGCTTCCAGGCCTCCCTGAGTTCACACATACCCCTCCTCAGATGCCCCAACTCCTGGGGGTTCTCCAGGACCCCCGTGCACCTTGTCCCTGGCCTGCCAATCAGTGTCAGCAGTTCCTGCCTCCAGGAGGGGGTGATTATACTGACAGGCACTTGCTGGCCTCTAGTAGGGGCTCGACACAGACAAGCACTCCCCATACAACCCCTGTGCCTCAGAATTACAATCAAAAGGCTCCTCAAAAGTCTGCATCCCGTTTCTTGCAAAGAGGAAGTGCTCCCGAGGGGTCTTAGAAGCACCATCTAGAACTTTAAAAGTTCTGAAAATGAAATAATCTTTCAGTTTTGGAAGAGAAAAAGTTCTGGAGATGGATGGTGGTGGGGACAACAGTATGAATGGCCATCGAACCCAACATTTAGAAATGCTTAAAATAGCAACTTTTATATTACGTATATTTTAGCGGGAGTGTGTGTGGGTGGGTGGGTGGGTGGGTGTGTGCGCGCACACGTGCGCGCACACACACACGATGCAAACAAAAAATGGGAAATGACTCAGAAGTCATGGGGCTCTGGGCTTCCCACTCTTCACTTCTAGCCCCTGGGTTCCGAGCTGCTTCGGGGGGTCCCCTGGCCTCCCCTTCTCTGTGGGCAGCAGCATCCTTGGCTCTGGTCACACTAAGCTCATCACTGCCTCTGCCATCCCCTTTCCACCCGGGTACAAGCTGTTCTCTGCCAGGCTGCCCTTTCCTGCTTTGTCTTCCTGGAAAACTCTTACTCATTCCCCAAGGCCAAGGCTGATGGCACCTGTTCTGGGAAGTCTTCCCAGCATTATCTGATTTGTCACTGTCTTCAGGACCTAGTGGGGGTGGAGGACCTGAACTGTTGCTCTGTATTTGCTGCATGGTGACCTTGAAGGACCTGTGTCCCCTGAGCCCTGTTGTTGAGCTCCATGGGCTGGGGCATAGTTAAGCCTGGAAAAGGCACCGCCCAACTCTGTCCTAGCCCCTGTTCATGTTTAGCCTCTCAATTCCCACGCTATGTGTACGCATGGACGTACACACACACACACACACACACATTGTATCCGTGCCCACTGTGGGCCTCGTTTCCTATTTCCTCACCTGTATAAGTAGAGACTACTATCCACCTACCCGCTATAGTAGATTTGGTGTCCCCCTGGGGATCCCTTCAGCCACCCTCCTGACTCCATTGCTCCCCAAAGCTGATCTTCCACTTCTCTGCTTTCTTCCATTTCTAGGGTCACCTCTCTCTCTAACCCATGACTCCACTCCCTCCTCACCTGACCATACAGCTTGTCTTCGGGGCCTGGCTTCGTCTTATGGTGCTTGGCGTCCATGCAGATGTTGAGCAGGTTCGTCCCGGCCCATGGAGTCCTAGGCTGGGCACCCCACGCAGCAGCCACCAAAACCGGAAGCAGCAGCTGTATCATGGGCCAGGCCCGGTCCATCCATTCCTGCTGGAAAGCCGCAATCAGAGGTAGATGCGGCCTAAGAGGGAGGCAGCAGCCAGGAGACTCTCCGCGCAGTTTCTTGTCTCCCTACCAAGCCTGGATCTTCCTCCCTCCTCAACCTGCTTATCCCTGAGGGCCCCCAAGCCACGCCAAAGGCAAGTGTAGAGGTCTGGGCCAGAAGGCAAGACCCATTCACCCCATCCCAAGGGCACTCCAACACTAGCTTGCTCTGTGACCTTGGTGGGAGCCACCACCCCTCCCTGGATGTGTCCTTCTAGATTTTACCGGTGGTACTTCGTCCACAGTTTGAGGGTCCTGCTAGTTCTGCAAGCCCTCTCAGATCTGCACAACAGGAACCATGGAATGTGGTCTGCTGATTGATAAGGGGAGGGAGTGAGAGAAGAAGTACCTGCCAGCCTCAGCCCATCCCCCACCAACCCAGTGTAGGGCAGATGGGGATCCTGACCCGGGAGGAGCTGAAGGCCTCTGAGCCCTGCAGTCACTGCTCTTGGTCCTAGACTGGGTGCCATGAGAGTGCAAGGGGGGTGCCATTGGGGGCACAATGTGGAGAGCCAGTGAGGGTGCAGTCCCAGAGAGCCAGACCCCAGTTTCTCACACCTCAACAACCCTGCCCCCCACACAAAGGGGTCTTGGGAAGTTACCCTGGCAGAGTGGGGCCTAGAGCTATGGAAAGGCGGGAAGGCGCATCATGATGCACTCAGAGGAGGGAGCACATTGGGTGGTGGGAGCAGCAGAGGAAAATCCAGCAGAAAAACCAGACCCCAGGAGAACTGGGTAAGACTTCACCTTTCCTCCCACCTCCTCCTTTCCACTTTCCCTCAAGACCTGCCCTGGCCTCACCCTCAGCCCCCCTGGGAAGTACAGTGTCTCCCTCCTCCACCCCACTCCTTTTATAAATCTACCAGGGTAAGGCAAACAAGGCTTTGTCTAGGAAACAACTCAATTGTCTTTCATTGAGAGGCCAGTTAAATAAATGAGGGTTCACCTAATGGGATTTAACCTGATATAAAAGAATGAGAAAGCTCTTGGTATACAAATGTGGGAAAACATTCAAGTATATTGTTAAGTGAAAGAGGAAGGGTGCAGAAACGTGTCCATAGAATTTTTTTGTGTAAACAAGGAGGAAGGTGAATGTATGTCTTCTCATAAGAAAATTCTGAGGGGCGCCTGGGTGGTTCAGTTGGTTAAGAATCTGACTCTTGGTTTTGGCTCAGGTGATGATCTCGGAGGGAGGTTGTGAGTTTGAGCCCCTCATTGGGCTCTGCACTCAGTGGGGAGTCTGCTTGAGATTCTCTCTTTCCCTCTGCCCCCCACCGCAACCCCCCACACCACCCCACCCCCCGCTTGCTCCCTGTGCATGTAATTGCAGTCTCTCTCTCAAAAATAAATAAATAAAATCTTAAAAGAAAAGAAAATTCTGGAAAGGTACAAATTTTTTTTTTTACATAGCCTCCCTTGCTGGGAGGATACAAGATTAGGGATGCGACTTTCTTCTATTTTTTTAATTTTAATTTTTTTTAAGTTTTTTTTTCTCAGTAATCTCAATACCCAACTTGGTGCTTGAATTCATGACCCCAAGATCAAGAGTCACATGCTCTTCCAACCGAGCCAGCCAGGTGTCCCAAGACTTTCTTCTATAAACTTTCTATGCGGTTTCGATTTTTTGAACCATGTGACTGTATACCTTATTTAAATATAACATACAGGTTTGTATGTATTTGAATATAAATATACAAAATGTTGAATGGAGAAATAAGATATAGAATGATGCAACTGATTTGATACCATTATGTAAATTTCAATAACAAGGATATTCATAAAATAGTGCTATATATTAGTTATGGCTACGATAGAGGTATTTGCAGAAATAGGAACACCAAGCCAGTGGTAGTCTTAGGTCCTTAAGTATACTGCCAAAGAAAGTCTGTGCCTTTGTGTTGTATATAGTTGAGCCTTCAACAACATTAATTACATAATCACACTAGTCATATGTTGAGAACCACACTATACCAATTAGAATAATGGATGTGTTACTTACACTGTTGTAACTCTCACAAGTCACTACAGTGTTGACATTATTATTCCCAACAGACAGATGAGGAAACCAAGACCTTGGGAGTTAGGTGAATTCCAAAACAGCTAAAAAGTGGAGGAGTCAGGATTTAACCCAAGATGATTTAACTGCAAAGTGCTGCTTTTTCCTCTGTCTTGCTATCTTCAAATACATGGTCTCATTTTCTTGCCTTACCTCTAGGAAATTTAGCCAAGAAACCACATCCTATGTTTACTTTTGAGACCAGCCTTCAGAGCTTCTCTCCCCAGAATCCTTTTAGACAGTACAATCCTTGTTTCCATTTCTGCTGTGTTTTGCCAAATAATGCAAATAAAGGAAATATAATATTTTAGAAATAAGAGGATCATGCTACCCCATTCCAACCAGAGACAAGCTTAGATTTTTCATCAGAAGTTCTTCCTAGCTTTGTGATGAATCAGGTCTACAAATCATAAATGATGCAAAAAGGAAAAACATAGGATTTCCATTGCTTTTTTGAGAAAAGCTAAGCAAAGACACAAATAAGTCTATAAAGGCAGTCACACCTGAAGCAATGCTGAGAGCATGCCCAGAACCAAGGGTTATGATTAATCTCATCCTGTGCAATGGAGGCGGGGGTGGGGGGAGCACTTTCCCATGTGGGGGTTAAAAAAGGGAACAGAGAAGGGACCATTGAGAAGTGAGCACTATGTCACGTCCCCTTGAACGTGGACAGGCTCCGTGACTGCTCTGACCAGTAGAATATGGTAAAACCGATGCTTTGCCAGTTTCTGGCTCCAGGCCTTAAGGGACAATGATGAACTGAATGTTTGCCTCTCTCCACCATTCCTATGTTGAACATTCCTATGAACCTGACCCCACCATGTGATGATATGAGGAGGTGGGGCCCTCTGAGAAGTGATTAGGGTTAGATGGGGTTATAAGGGTTATAAGGGCCTTATAAGTGTCATGAGAGAGTTTGTTTCCCCTCTCTGCTCTCCACCATGTGAGGATACAGCAAGGAATGGGCAGTCTGCAACCTGGAAGGGGGGCATCCCCAGAACTCACCATGCCAACTCCCTGATTTTGGACTTTCAGGCTTCAGAACTGTGAGGAATAAACTTTTGTTGTTTAAACACTCTGAATAGGGTGCCTGAGTGGCTCAGTCGTTAAACATCTGCCTTCAGCTCAGGTCATGATCCGAGGGTCCTGGGATCAAGCCCTGCATCGGAGTCCCTGCTCAGTGGGAAGCCTGCTTCTCCCTCTCCCACCCCCGTCCCCTGCTTGTGTTCCCTCTCTCTCTGTCTCTCTCTGTCAAATAATAAAATCTTTTAAAAATAAATAAAAAATAAACACCCTGTCTCTATGCTATTCTGTTACAGCAGCCAAAACTGACCAAGACAGGGACTAGCAGCTTCTACTTTCTATTTCTTGGAATATTGTCTCTTAGACCCATGAGCCACCATGTAAGAGGACTAACTGTCCCGCTAGAGAGGCATTGAGAAGCCCACGGACTACACAGAGAAGAGGGGGCCTGGCTGAAGCCAGCCTTCCAGCAACCCCTGCTGAAGACCCAAGCCTGTGAGTAAAACCATTCTGGGTGTTCAAGAGCATCCCCGACATAGGTTAAACATTACTAAGTGACCGTAGTCACTGCCCCGTGGAGCAGAAGGATCGTCCAGCGGGGTCTTGCCCAAATTCCAGACTCACACAGTCTTGAAGCTTAATAAGATAGCCAGTAAGACACTACATCTGTTGGATTTTTTTAACTGTGTATTTTGGCATAACCTTTGACTTAACAGAAAAATTGCAAAAGTAGTTAAGAGAGTTCCCATGTTCTTTGCATCCAGGCTCTCCAGATGTTGACATCTTACATAACCAAAGCATATCTGGGCCAGAAAATCAGAGGAGTGATGACCCTTTCAGAGCTTATCACATCACGGGGTAGGTGCCGTGCAAATGTCTTACTGCTGGCCATCATTTGGGTAAGGTGGTTTCTCGACATATGCTAGGTCTCCCTTTTGTGAGCAGTCAATATTTTGTGGGAAGATACTTTGACACAATGCCCTTTTCCTCATCGCACGGTCATCCACTGATTTTAACATCCAGTCTTGTCTGCACCAGTAAAGCACAAAGCCAGGGAACGTGGCCATCGCTAACTGCTCCTAACACGACAGTCGCTATGGCCCTTTTCAGGCTCTGAGAAACGACTTGGCTTATCACCTTAATACAGCCAAATAACACTTAATTCTACAGAATTCACAAACTATTTCCACAGAATTCCTCGTCCCTGCAGGGGACGATCGAATTATTTGATCATTGAAGAGTTTTAATCCGGAGAGTGACCTGATTCCATTGGTGTTTTTTTTTTTTTAATTTATTTGACACAGATTGAGAGAGATCACAAGTAGGCAGAGAGGCAGGCAGAGAGAGGGGGAAGCAGGCTCACTGCTGAGCAGAGAGCCCGATGCGGGACTCGATCCCAGGACCCTGAGATCATGACCTGAGCTGAAGGCAGAGGCTTAACCCACTGAGCCACCCAGGTGCCCTCCATTGGCAATTTTGGAAGATCTCCTGGCTCCTGTGTGCAGAAGGGACTGGGTGTGGGCAGGGTGGGTGGGTCTGGAAGACTTCAGGAGTCCCGGACTGAGATGATGGCAGCTTACACCAGCAGGGTGGAGGAGGGTTTCGGTCAGTATACCAATGTGAGACCCGCTGAGTGCCTGCTATGTGCTAGACTGTTCTAGGTGCTAAGGCTACAACAGGGAACTAGACCAAGTCCCTGCTCTCATGAAGCTGACATTCCAGGGAGGTGGGAGAAAAAAAAAATGCGGAGGTATATGGTGATAGTGCTCTGGAAAAATAAAGCAGGGAAAAGGAATAGAGAAGGGCTGTTTTGTTGTTGTTGTTGTTGTTGTTGTTTTACACTTGATCTTAGCCAAAAGGCC